AGCGGGATGCGGTGCCCGACCACCGACGCCCTGGAGGGCAGCTCCCGCTCCGGGGGCTCCGACCGGCTGAGGGCAGTGCAAGGGAAGCCCGTGCCGGTCGCTGGCCCAAGCACAGCCATTTTCTCAGCTGAGGTCCCCCAGCCACTCCCGTGGCCGCGGAGCAGCGCTGCCCACACGTGGGGCCGCACCAGGCCTGTCCCCGCGGCCACCTCAACTCCCGCCTCTTCTCACGACCCCAAGAAGCCGCTCGCCCGCCCGGCGCACTGCCTCACCGTGACTCTCGGCCCATGCTTCTGGCGGCGCGAAAGCCGACGCCCTAAGGGACGACTCGCAAGCGAACGGGACAAAGAAGAAGGCTGCGCTGCCCTCGACGGGCCAGTCAGAAATCCGCTCTAAGAGGTGGCGGCAGCTACACCAGACGCTGCCATTCCAGCGCGGCCAACGAAAGAAAACAGGACGTGTTGGCGCCGGCGGCAGAAAGAAGAAGAAAGCCGACCGGAAGTCGCTGGCTCTCCACAGCGTCGCCTGTCGGCTGGAGGGCGCACAGCGCCGGCCGCGCCGTAAACGCGATGCCCCCGTGGGGCCCCCGGCCCCTGGTTGGTGGGGTTGAGGGCGGCGCCTCGGCCTCGCGGGCCCTGGGCGGGTCTTCGCTGTGACGGGCACCGACGCGTCTCCGGCTCCCGCTGCTATCCCGGGCCCTGTCCTGATCCTGGAGTGCTCAGTCTAGTGGGGAAATAGACGTGCCTTAACTTGCGCGAAACAATGCGACAGTCTTCTCCATACACTCTCGTTATTTGTGCGTGTTGTCGTGTGCCAGGCCCGTGCTAGATTCTGGGGGGAGCTCACCGTCTAGCGGGGAAATAGACGTGAATGAAAATACAAGCAGATGTAACACGGCAAGGAGAGGCCACCAATGGAGAAGGGTCAGAAAAAGAGTTCCCGGAGGGGCCGGGCGCCGTGCCGAGGCGGGCGGATCATTTGAGCTCAGGAGTTCGAAACCAGCCTGAGCAAGAGCGAGACCCCGTCTCTACTAAAAATAGAAAGAAATTAATCGGACAACTAAAAATAT